TGCCTGTAGGGGGAGGGTGCCTGCTGCCCGGTAGGGGAGAGGCCTCTGCAGCATCTTCCAGCTCAGCCAAGTGCAAGCCCAGAGGGTCCCAACTGGGGGACTTGCAGGTAGGTTGTTTGGACTCAACAATATCATAGGCATTCATCTAGAATTCCCCATCTCAGTTTTCAGAATGTCGGGTTTTCTCTCTCAGGGCCCAGACCTGCATACTTCACCTGCCTTGGCTGAGATTTAAACATTTCCAGCTCTTAACTCTCACAATTAGACCTTGGAAATTGGAAACCCACAGCTTTCCATTGTGTCTAACCATCCAATTCAGGTGGTGGCGAAGACTGCTTTGTACCCACTAGGAAGGCCCTGTTGCTCTCACACTTAGCTGGTAACTGCTTGTTAACTGCAGTTCAGTCTCCCATTATCCTTATGCAGGGCATTAGTGTGACTTTAGCAGTGACTAGCCAACTCCACTGCTTTTCTGGCGTTTTTCCGCTGAATCTGCATTATTGCCTTGGACATGAAGCATATCCCTTCATTTGGACATTTTCCAGGTCACCATCAGTGTAATCTTTAGCAATTGAGCCATGACCTGTGCCAGGGACTACCCTCCTATCAGTTAGGATAGCATCCTCAACTGCAGAGTTGTCTGTGAGCATGTACCAGACCCCCCATCCCACCACCTGCTTTCTCAGATCATTCTCAGGGCCACTTGGGTTAGTCTGAGTCTGAGCAACAGACACCAAGATGGGATCACAGTTACAGGATTTGATTAAGGATACCACCCACCTATGTGAAAGAAAAGGGGGTAGAGAGACTACTGGGGAGGCTGAGAGAGGCATCAAACCACAGTGCAAACCTGACCCTTGCAGTGGGGAGGAGAGGGGTTTGGGGTGTGAGCAAGCTCTCCTGGTCTGCCATGAGGTCTAAGGGAGATTCAGCAGAGCTGTCAGGGAATTCTTGTCTTTAATTCATCTTTGTCAACTTTTCTCAGTTATTTCGTCCTGCTTTCTTGCTGCAGACTAGTTTTGTCATTCCCCATTTCATGTGGTAGGAGTTATCCATTTCCGTAGTTGAAGAGAGCAGTCAGACCAAGCTGGATAGCATAGTCCCACCTCCCAATTCCTAGGGAAGGACCATGGCCCAGTTTCAGCCATGTCTGGGATCTAGTTCACAGCTACGGGAACCAGGTTGTCTCTCTCTAAATTGAGGTATTTGCCAGAAAAGCCGGACAAACTACAGACCTAACACTAATAAACACTTTATATAACCTCTAATAGTCCTAAACATTTCATTAGCAATATTGTTTTATTCTTCACAGACAGACTTCGAAGAATGATTCAGATGGGTCATAGTTCTTCCAACAAAGGAATCGAGACGTACTTAAGTATTCTGTTGGTGACTAACTGGATTAGTTCGTTAAATGTTTGTTTTTGTAATTGCAAAGTATTTTCAAGGGTAATCACTGATCCAGCATTTTTTCCTTTGACTCTTCCTTGCTCTTCAATTTATTCAAAGCTGAATTAGTGTTAGAGAAGATAAAAACTGTCTGGGAGAAGAATACATTTGTTAGAGTACCGCTATGCTTTGGATGTGGTTTGTCTCCATCAAAACTGATAGTGAAATTTGATCCCCCAGTGTGGCGACGTTGGGAGGTGTGGCCTAGTGGAAACCCTTATGAATAGATCAGTGCTTTCCCTGTGTGGTAAGTTCTCACTCTTGTGGGGATGGATTACTTCCTGTGAGAGTGGGTTGTTAAAAAGAGTCTGGCTTCCTTGGTTTCTGTTTCTTCTCTCACCGTGTGATCTCTTTGCCTACACCCACTGTCCTCCTATTTTCTAGGAGTGGAAGCAGCCTGAGGCCCTTACCAGGTGCAGCTGCCCAGAATCACAAGCCAAGTAAACCTCTTTTCTTTATGAACGACCCAGTCTCAGGTACTCTGTTATAGCACCACTAAACTAAGACAAGTAATTGGCACTGAATTTGAAGGCCATAAAAATCATTGCTACATGATTAGAACTTTAAAGAAGAGCTGCAAAGCCCTCTTTTCTGAAGTTGTAGACAGGTAGCATGGCCTCTGTCTGGTGTCTTTTGTATTTATACAGGCATAGGAGCTCCAAATAGAGGTTTAATGAACGTGAGAAATGAAGGCTGGGGATTAATTAGTCAAAGATGAAATCCTGGAACAACAATGTGTGAAGTACCCCAAGGGAAGGCCAAAGAGAAATATGTATGTAAATGTCTCTGGCTGTACAGTCAGCAAACATTTTTTGAATAATCAGGTTGTGTCGAGGACTGTTCAGGGCATGGTGGGGAACACAGAATTCATGGACTCAGTCCCAAATTCAGGCAGCTTGTAGTTCATCTGGGAAGAAGACAACTGTCAGTCCTGCCTCTGCCAGGCGTAGAGACTCCTGCAGTTTGCTTGGGATGGTAAATGGGGAAATGAATGAAGTGCCCACATATTTTCCCTTCCGAAGCCCTCTCAGAGCTCCCTGTTGTTCTAAAATAGAGTGTATTTATAGAAAATGTGAGGTATAGTGAAGCCAACAGGTTAGGAGACAATGCCATAGAAAAGATAGCTTGTTACCACAGTTCCCAAGAGGAGGGGTCACACCACACCACACAGGGCCACATAGGAAGCCCAGCATCCCTCAGGAGGCAGAGCGGGAGGGGGAACTGTGGACCGGAGCCTTTTTTGTGGTTTCTGTGGGAAGCAGTGTACGAAGCAGGGGAAGCAGACTCAGGATTGGCGGGTTTGAAGTTTTGGTGGGCTGTCAGCTTGGGGGCTGTTTCTAGTTGTCTAGTAGTTTGGCCATGGGGTGATTTGCAGTGGGTAGTGGCTGGGAGTGTTAGAGCCTCATGGAGGAGGTGATAGGTATGTGGGCTGTGGATTGGTTGGTTTGCATTTGAAGAGGGCCCTCTTAGGTGAGTTGTTTTCCATCTATTGGAATTAGTAACCCTGGGAGGATGGCACCAAGCTATCCACCCCCATGATCCAGAAGCTTCCCACTAGGCCCCACTTTCAACACCTTAGATCACATTTCAACATGAGATTTGGAGGGGATAAACAAACTGTATCAATAATCTTGTGAAAATGAAAATATATTCCAGTCATTGAATTTTCTAGTATTGTATGAAGATGAGGCTGGTTGTGTGATTAGGAGGTTTGAAAACTCTATAAACTTCTTAATAGAAAGTTGAGATTTTATTTACCATCTTTTTTTTTCTCACTGCAACCTCTGCCTCCTGGGTTCAAGTGATTCTCCTGCTTAAGCCTCCTGAGTAGCTGGGATTACAGGCACCCGCCACCATGCCTGGCTAATTTGTTTTTGTTTTTAGTAGAGACGAGGTTTCACTGTGTTCGTCAGGCTGGTTTCGAACTCCTGACCTCAAGTGATCCACCCACCTCAGCCTTCCAAAGTGCTGGGATTACAGGTGTGAGCCACTGAGTCCAGCCTATCATCTCCTTTTTGGAGAGAGGGGTGGGAGGGGTGAAAGGGATGCCTAGGATGTTGGAGAAGGCTTTCCTGAAGTGTCCGGTGATCCTTAACTCTTATTTAAGTCTGAGGCACTGGCGCTTGGGGAGATTTTGGCAGGTGTTAACTGCCTGGCTGGCAGTTTCAACAGGGGAAAGCCTCCCTCCCCAGTGTTCATATTTGTAGATCTTTTCTCTTCAGATATTCCCCAGGAAGGAATGTTCCAGTCTTTTTGGATGGGAGTAAAAGCCAGGCTGCCTGTGTTCTAGGAGCCAAGTGGAACAAGGGGTCAGGGGAGCTGTCTCACCAGTCATTGTAGACTTTGATTTAATTTCCTGTTTCCAGTACATTTCCTCCCCCTACCTTTAGCTATGCCTGGAGTCCCAAGTTCAAATTCTTTAATTCACCTTTCTTTTCCAGAGAGTAAAACATCCTGGGTTGGGTGGAGGAGGGGCAGCCCAGGAAGGGAGAAGGCATTCTTAAATGGAGTTTTAAAAGCCACCCCTCCTGTTTTATCTCCCCTCAATTCCCGTTTTGCACTTACCTGGTGCCTCCTACTCCTGAGCCCTTTTGTAGGGAGGGGGAGGTTCTGTGGCTCAGGTGGGTTTACTTGCTTGGGATGGTAAATGGGGAAATTCACCTGCTGCCCCCAGTTAGCAGTCTAGGTGGACCACAATGCCAGAGGTTTGTCTAGGGCCAGTTGCCTGCCACACAGAAAGCCAATCACTGAGACAATGAGTGTTGTCAGGGAAGAAAGCTTTGATTGGGTGCCATAGCTGAGGACATGGGAGATAAGCCTCAAATCCATCCTCCTGACCTACTAAAATTAGGGGTTTATATATCAGGAAGAAATGTAACCATACATTTAAAAAACAGGAATTAGGGAGAGATAAGGAAGGGGAGTTGGTCAACAGGAAACAGGTGGTCTTAGGCAGTCATGATGGGTGAGGAGTCTGACTTCTCATGGTCCAGATGAGATGACCTAGGAAGTTTTAGTTTTTTAATACTACCTGGAAGTCCTGATGGATGGTTGCTTGAGAAAGCAATTCAGATAAGACAAATGTAACTTGCTCAGGTTTCAAGACTCAGAGGGTCAATTTCTGTGTTTATTCAAAGAAACCATAAACACCAGTTCTGTGGGACAACTGGGGTGATGTCACAGTGATGGCCTTTCCTGTCTCTTAATCTGGTTAAGTGGCCTCAGGTTTGTGGCTTTTGTCTCCTCTCTTGCTCTTGGTACATGTGGACTTTCTGCCTTTCCTCTCTCTCCTCATTTCAGTGAAGAGAGAAGTCAGAAATATGGCATGTATTATTTTTCTATAAAGTGAGATTATACTGTACATAGACCTTCAGGATCTATAAAACTCACTACAGTAATTCACTGTTTGTTGCATTTTAGCTGATTCTGTCACATAGAAATTTTAGGATAATGAAAATTCCTGGAAAATTATCAATTTTCAAGGGAATTAAAATTCCAGATTTGTTAAAATGTGAATATGAGCTTATAAAGAATGTCTTTTCAATTTTCAGATTGTGAGCCATGCCTTTGGTGAAGAGGAACATTGAGCCCCGGCACTTGTGCCGGGGAGCTCTGCCTGAAGGAATTACCAGCGAACTTGAATGTGTGACCAATAGTACTCTTGCCGCTATCATACGCCAGCTGAGCAGTCTGAGTAAGTCATCTTTTTTCTGATTACCAGTGACATTACCTTTTTGTTAGCAAATTGATTTTAATAGTTAAGTATTGTCCAAAGAAGAGATTGCAGCTTTAAGGAAAAGATCCTTTCTCCTTCTGTATGTCCCAGTGTGAAATTGACCACTGCACCCATACTGGGCTTGTGATGCTTAACTTCAGGCAATGAAGATGTGATGCTGTTACCAACTCAAAAATTGTTAGATAAGATCAAATGTGCAGATTTAAAATAGTGTTAATTTTTAAAAGCTTTTGAAAATGAAGATAATTGGTAGTTTTTTTTTAAACTACCGATTATGATGAATTATTTGTTAAACTTGAGTAGGACCAATTGTTTTGTTTTTTAAGTGTAGTAGATTGAAAACTAGTTAACACCTGTGATATGCCTGGCACATAGTACCTACTCAACAAATATTTGTTGATTGAATAACATCCCAAATGAACCATAGTGTAAAGCCAAACGATAGATTTGCCGATTTTAACCAACTAAAAGTTAAAATGCAGATACTGACTTCCACATTGAGGTGAACAGCTCAGCTGATTATTTTATGTATGGTACCAGGTATGTATTTGCACGCGTAGATGTATGGCAAATGCAAGCATAGGAAGAAAAGGCTGCTTCTTATTCTAATTTTGAATATTAACATTAAATATCCGAAGAATATTTTATAAGACTCAAATATGCATGAAAATGCTTTTTCCTTCAAAGCTTTTTGAAGTTGCACTATTTTTCCCCTAACTTTTACATTTATTTCGTGATCTCGTTTTCTCACTTCATCCTACTCCTTTTCAGTTTAGATGGTTTATGTGGCATTTTTGGTGACAGGTTTTCACAGTTAAATTTTGCAGAAACTCTGTTAATAACTAGAAAATCTTCCATGAAATGTCCCATATTGGTAGCCTCAAGCAAAGGGCAAAATTTTTTTAACTCAATTACTTTTATTTATTTTGAAGAAACGCTGCAGATAAGTATTGGTTTCTTTAATAGAATTGTACTATATTGTTACTGATATATTTTTAATAATATCTATAATCATTAGCTAAGGCAAAAGTATGTAAGGAAATTACATAAAATGTTTTAAAATAAAATTTTTCTGGAATCTAAGCTCTATTATAATTGATTTTTGGTAGTGGCTACTGATAAAAATATGCAAATTCACATAATTACATGAAGACTCCTTATAAATTATTGAAGGGTAAAATTGTTTTTGTTTGTGTTTATTTTTGTAGGAATGCTTTTAGTCTTTTGTTTTGATGGCTGAAATGCCTGTTGGCACAAAGTGTAAGTGATGAAAGCCAACATAACTGTCAGAGTTTTAATAATCAATCTGTATCTCATGCTATAATATTCAGCGGAGTGTTGTATTAGTTGTGTTTATGGTGTTTGCTTGGCCACAGTCTCCTGTAAGTGAATCTGCCCACACAGTATGCCTTGTTCTACATGGCCCTTCTGGTAAATTGAATAGTAATAGCCCCTCCAGATATGTCCATGTCCTTATCCTTGGAACCCGTGGATGTGGTATGTTATGTGTAAGAGGGAATTAAGGTTGCTGTTCATCCTGGTTTACATGGTTGGGTTCAGTATAATCCACAAGGGTCCTTTAAATGGGAAAGGAGGGAGGTAGAAGAATCAGCACCAGGGTGACGTGATGTGGGAAAGACCCAGCTGCCATTGCTGACTTTGAAGATGGAAGAAGGGGCCATGAGCCAAGGAATGCAGGCAGACTCAAGTAGCTGGAGAAGGCAAGGAAATTGATTCTCTCCTGAAGTCCCCAGAAAGAACACAGATCTGCCGGTACCTTAGTTTTAGCCCAGTGAAATTCATTTCTGACTTCTGCCATCCAGAACTGTAGGATAATCATTTGTGTTACTTTAAGCTGTTACGTTTGTGGTAATTTGATACAACAGCAATAGGAAACCACTCTAGCTTTGGTTGTGTTTTGTACCACCCTATCCACTGTAGCCTCATGATTGGACCACGGGTGGGAACCTGCCTAGTGGATAGTCAGTTCTGAGTTAGGCTACTGCAGTGCATCTCAGCCTGGCTTCTCTATCAGAATCACTTGGAGAACTTTAAAACAGGATGCTAGGAATCACCCCAGAGATTGTGCTTCTGGTAAGCACCAGAGGTGACCCACAGAATTAGATACACACGTGTCTAGATTGAAACGATGAGCTGGGTCAGTCAGATACTTTCAGGAAGTTCGAACTAAGAAATGCAGTGAATTTGCTGGTCTCTTATGGGACCTACAGCTAAAATGTCATCTGGGGCTGAAAAAGCCATAATGACCACCTGTTAGGCAAAGTTGTGGGAGGGGGCAAAACCCAGGAGGAAACTGAAGGAAGCCAGTTGGTGAGGAAAGGCAAAAGAAGGATGTACAAAGAGAAGCAAGAGCGTGAGCGAGACCGCGAGGCCCACAAGGTGGAGGCAGCAGCTGTTTCTAGACCTGCCCAGGATGGCTTTTCCCTCCCATTTGCCGTACAGGGCTTGGGAGTCCTCACAGTGACCCTTCCTCACTTCAGGTTCCTTGAGTGCATCTGGGGCTTACAACCCAGAGAGCCTTACAGAAGGCACAGTGATATATACTGCCAAGGATGTAATTTTGGAAAATGAAGATAACTGAGTGCAATGAACTGTGTCTCCCAACAATTCCGCATTGAAATCCTAATCCTGATTGTGATGGTCTTTAGAGCTAGGATTTTGGGGAAGTAAGAATTCATGAGGTGGAGTCCTCATGCATAGGATTAGTGCCTTTATTAAAAAGTCCTGAGAGAGACACCTTGCCCCTTTTGCCTAGTGATGCCATAGCAATGAGGCACTGTCTTGAAGAAGAGAGAGCAACCCTCACTAGACATCAAATCTGTTGGCACCTTGACTTTGGAATTCCCAGCCTCCAGAATTGTGAGAAATAAATTTCTATTGTTTGTAAGCCACCTACTCTGTGGTCTTCTGTTATAGTAGGTCAAATTGCCTGTGACACTGAATTACTGATTGGTGATAGAATATCAAAGTAGATTATCTGAAGTTTATGAGTGTTTATTCATTCAGCTCCCCTCTAAATACAGGAGACAGCAAATAACTTTGAATTGGGTTCTACTTAGAAGTTAACCACATTTATAATTTAAAAAATACTTGGTAAGTCACATCAACAAGATTATAAAGTAGGAAACAGATATGCAGTTATTACAACCTGCTGTAAGACAGCACTAGCACATAGTAAATGACATTAATGTTTTGCATGAATCTTTAGTTGTTTGTGGTTTCCCACTGGGTATTAATATATTACAGGGGATGAGGAAAGTAATATGCAAATGTATATGAGCTCAAGTTGTTAGGAAGAATAAGAGAATTTAAAGGAATGTTTTATGTTATTTTTAAATTTTGTAATAATTCATCAGGTATTTAAAGAGATTTAGGAATGTATGAACCTATAATATTAAAAGTCTTCTTTTACAGTGTATTCATTCCTATGATAAAGTCAAGACATAATCATTTTTAAAATTCCTTTGAGGACCTACCTGGCCATTATTCAGTGGGTTCAAATGAGAATGGATCATCTGAATCCTCCTCACTTCCCTGCTCACCCCCACACCTGTGTCACTCGCCTCCCACCCTTATCTCCACTCCCCACAGTAGAAAATCATTTTCAGGTACAGATTGCGATAGATGATGTATAATTATCTGCTTCCTATAAGTGATACAGAGGGGGACTAGACTTTCTTTACATGTGTATCTTAAGGGAAACACCAGCACAACTTAGGGATTTGCCTTGAGCCTACACTGGTCATCACTGCTTGAGCAGCGGGGACTTGCCCTGGGAGACCTACTGTGAAAACCAGGGCACCTAATTGTTCTAGGGAAGGAAAAACAGACCAGGACTCCACAGGGAGTTTCTTTGGTGTTTTCTAAATAGGAAGAGAATTACCTGATCTTTCTGATTCTTGTCACATTTATGGAGACAGTTCAGGGTTATGAGGATTTAAATGACTTTGCATAAAGCAAGAAAAGTATCTGGTCTTAGATAGCTAATGGAATTCTGAAGGTCCTACAACTTTACATAACTTTTGGGAAATCTGTAGGTTTTTAGCTCTGGATATGCTTTTACTACATCCAGATCAGACACTTGACTTCAAGGGCCAGAAATTTGTCAGCGTTAAATTTTTAACAGGCTTTTTAGGGAATTGAAATCTTTCCAGTGAGACTATATTGAATTTAGTAACAGTCATAGGGATGAAAGAGAGGAAATTTGTAACATGAATGACCATATAGTTTAAAAAGATCACCAGTTTCACAGGTTTGTCCAATAAATTTTTTTAAGTCTTTCTTAATTTTCAGATTTTTTTCTTTGAGTGTTACCTCTGATACAGTACAGTGTGAGCAGTCAGAGTGGCCGGGGGAGGAAAGCCGCTTGCCAGACAGTTTTAGGTGTGTTACTTGGTTTTCCAGCTAGGGAATTTCATTATCTTTTTCTTCAAATAATGACAGTTTAGTGTAGCAATTAACATTAAACTAGGAATGCTGTTTCATCATTTTCCTTGATTAATCTGAATGCTCTTGTTCCTGTCAGCTAGTTGGTCAATTAAAATCACAGTATCTTGTAATCAAATTCCTACTGATATTGTGATGTAGTTTCAATATAATTTGCTTAAAAAGGAGATGACATTTTTGCCAAGATGACATAAATACTTCATAAGTTTGATTTTGCTACTTTTTTTTTCTTTGTTCTTGTGATAATAGCTGTTTCTCCCTCCTCCCCCTTAAAATTCTTCTCAGGATGTCACAAAGAAAGGAGTTAGAACTTTAGTGAGCCCTGCCAAAAAAAAAAAGTTTGGGTACGTTAATGGTACTATTACGATAACATAGAACATTTAGCACAGAAACATACAAAAGAGTCAACTTTACAAAATTCCATTAATCAGAAAAAATTATTTGTAATACTTTGAACATATCTTTATACAGATGGTATCTCATTGTACATA